GTCGATATAGAAGAAAACGTTTTCTCTGTTAGGTTCTACATTGAGAAATGTAATCAGCGTTAAATGCGAGAGAGGAGAAACTTCCTTAAACATGACAATTGAGAAGAATATATGTCTCTTCTGTCGACGAATTATATGCTTATACAGATAGAAAACGTACAACATAAAATCATAATAAGTTCAAAACAATATTAAAGATATTTTATACATATTTTCAAAACGGTAACAAAATTATGAAGAAGTTACAGATTATTTTAAATCGTGTTTAAAAATAATACAAATTTGGTGACGGTTTACTATCTGGATTATAAGTTATTTTAATAAATAGTAGTATTTTTTTAAATTTATGATCTAATAAAAATATGGAAATGTGTTATAAAATAAATCATAAAATATCAGTTTTCTAATATAAATACATTATACATTCAAGATTATTTACCTAGAGTTACATAGTGATGTATGAACTAGTTGTCCAGTAAATAAATAAAATATTGTTTTGTTCTATATTTTTGTAATTAATTAGTGAATTGCAATGAAATTTTGCATAAATTATTTTAAATATTTAAAGTACTTATAAAAGAAAAATGTACATTTTTTAATCATTTAAAAAATTTTCATTTAAAAAAATAAAAGCGTAATAACAAAATAAATAAACTACAAAAATATGTTATTAAACAAAAATATGATTTTATTTACACAACTTTTATATCTGTATAAATTATTTGATGTGTAAATATTAAACATGCTTCCAAATTTAATTTTCTTTGCAGGGACTGTATGTGATACATCCTTACGTAGAAGTCTTTATAAAGAAGATTTTATAAAAATCATAATAATTTTTATTAAATGACTTCTACTTGATATTATCATTTGATACACTTTATTATGATTTTATGAAAATCTTGATATAAAAATAATTTTTAAATAATTTTTTAACTATAAAAAATGTGGAACTACGTATATAGAAAAATAAATCACGATTACATCAAAATTATATCAAATAATGTCAAAATAATAAGATAACATCAAATTATAATCAAAATGTGAGTATATTTTTTTATTTCTTTTGACATCATTTAGATGGGGAAGATCCCGTTTGCCTACAATCTTCTCGATTGCACACACCACTCATATAAAAAAACTGGCCTAATTTGCACTGCTTTACCAATGAAAATATTTTATTTTTAAATTAGCTAATTAGCGATGCATATGTGTAACATGCAATATGTACAATCGGAGTCTTTCCATTTTGATGTTATTGTGATGCATTCAGCAAAAAATTTATCTTGCGATTATTAAAAGTTTTCTTTGCTGAGATAAAACATTTATTTATTTAGATCTAAAAGTATAAACTTTAACAAAGAAAACTTCTAACAAATGTAAAATAAACATTCTCTTGAATGTGGCTATTATGTTTTATCTAAAATTTACATAATATATTTATTAAAGAGTAAAAAAGAAAGCAATACAATTGGATGTTATATACTATTTATATAATTGTATCTTAAGAATTTTACAATGCTGTGTGTTACAATGCAAAATAGATCTTCATTAATATATAAATGTCATTAATATATTAAAATGCATAAATGTCACATAAATGTATCACCAAAATCTTGTAATAATAAACTTTGATGTTGATAAAAAAAAACAATATCTAATCATGTAATCAGAGTTTGCTAAATAATTCCCAAAGTATTACATGCGATATTCATAATTGATACGTAGTAAATTTTATAAAGATATTTTTTGTATCGCATTTTATCTATCGTAAAGATTTCGTCGGAGTTCGGGCTTTATTTTTCTCTTATTCTTGAAGAAAAATTTTCGAATCTAAAAGAGAAAAAAATAATTGTAAATACAAAAATTAGAGTCTCACCAATTTCAATTGCGATGCTAATTAACGGTCGACTCAATCATTACGATTGCCGACGTGAGGATCATGAAGAATAGAGACTAGTTGCGGGATTCTCTAAACTCTGTTTTATCGATAATTATCGCTATTGTTAAGCGTGATCTTGCAAATATTCTGTCGCCAATCGCAATGCTTCGCAACAGCCAATCAGAAGCATCAATAGTAATTACTAATTAGTGATGTTCCCCCTATTAGGGAGTTTAGTAATACCGTGTATTCAGATACGGTGAAAGTTAAAATTATATTATTTAGTGAAAAGTTGAACTGCGCATGCGCACGGTATTGCGAAACTCCCTACTTAAAGGTGCCTTTACAGCGTCGAACGTCAGAGCATGCGCAATAATATGTTTAATAATTTTACTGAAATTGAATTTAATGTACAACCGATCACAGAAAGATTGCAACACGTTTTTTTTCGATGGGTTTCGGAATGCAGTTTAGGCCCGATTGCATCAACGTTACTTTAATTTTAAGCGAAGCTTAAAACTCTCTTTGTCCCTATCTTTTTTCGTTTTTAAAACGAGATAGAGAGAGAGAGAGAATTATAAGTTTCGCTTAAAATCAAAGTAACGTTGGTGCAACCGGATTTTACTCATCGAGCGATTGATTCTTATTTATAAATCCACAAATAAGAACCAATCGCTCGGTGAGTAAACTGCATTCCAAAACCTATCTGTTTAAATGTTTATTTTACATTTGTTAGAAGTTTTCTTTGTTAAAGTTTATACTTTTAGATCTAAATAAATAAATGCTTTATCTCAGCAAAGAAAAAAAAAGTATTGCAACCTTTCTGTGATCGGCACGATATACACTAATAGTGGAATCTTGTAGTTTACACTATATAATGTAAATAAATAGAAATTTTCAGTATTATATTACGTTAGGATAGTAGTGTATATTATAATCTCCCATAATTTACCATTTTGCGTCAAGAAACTATATGCAGAAAATTATTGCGCAAGAATCTGGAGATTCAAACTTCTGCGCAATATAATCTGGAGATCTATTGTGTATCTTCAAATAAAGTGAAAATTACAAAAGTAAACAAATTCACTAAAGTATTCATAATTTAATTGGTCAATACCTAGTAATCATTGTTCATTTTTGAAATTTTCGTCTCATTTCAAAATACACAATTGATCCCTGGCGCAGATGCTCGACGCTTGCTCCCATTGAACTATATATACACTGAAATCGGCATCGAAGAAAATTCGTGGCCGCAATTGATCAGCCGCCATTTTAGTTGAGACGATATTTCAGCGAATCAGAAGCGTTCGCGCGCGCTGCAATCGCTGTATTATTGATATATGGAAATCTATATGGACGTAAATGGTATGTAAACAAAAATAATGTCACTTCAATTTTATTAGTACATTCAATAAAATAACATTAATAACACTTTTCATATCCATACATCGTTAACACATGTGCAGGAATTATTGAAATATTTAATACAAAAATTCTTACCTATAAAATAAAATGCCCTTTTTATTTCTCTGTTCACACCCAGACACACAACACTTCATGTTGATGCTTTGCACAGTTACGCGATTTTATAACCTTTCCCCAAAGTAATCTTTCAAATACAACCTCATACACAATCTTGCTGATATATGCGTCTTACTAAAAAAACATTAAACGTAAGTGCGCATGAGCACCTGAAGGCTTCTGATTCGTTCTTATATTGATTAAATTAAAATGGCGCTGATCAATTGGTGCCACGATTTTCTATGCTTCACAGCGGAGATGTCTATTTCAGTATATATAGTTCAATATTTGCTCCGAATCAATATATTTTTAAGCCTTAAATGGACAACCATAATGGACAATCACAATTAATTATTCTCCTTGCATTCGAC